TGTTTCGAGCATGTATTCTGACTACAAAGTATTAGTGATAATATATATATATATATATATATATATATATATATATATATATATATATATATATATATATATATATATATATATATATTTGTTTTTAGCAAAAATGTCAAATATTTAATGTTATCAACCTGATTAGTATAAAATGTCTCGTAAGGTCCAATAAGAGTGGAATGGGCATAGAAGGCCCAAATAACATGTAATGAGAACACAAGGCCCAATAAGCATGTAATGAGTAAGTAAAGCCCAATAAACATATAAACAAGTATATAAAGCCCAATTTTAGTAAAATGTCGTAAAGAGCTCATTATTTATCAAAATGATCATTTTAGCTCCAGTAAAATCCAAAATGACATAAAACGCCAACTTTTATTAAAAATCACATTTTAGGCCCATTTAAACCGAAAGTTTGCAAATAAGGCCCATCTTTGTTAAACATGACATTTTAGGCCCATTATGGCCGAAAGTTTACACATAAGGCCCATTTTTGATAAAAATGGCATTTTAGGCCCATTAAAACTGTGATTTATCAAATAAAAAAACAATTTATCAAAAATGACATTTTTAGCCCATGAACCTGTAAATTGTCAAATAAGGCCCATTTTTATCAAAATCAACATTTTAGGCCCACTAAACCGTGGGATGTAAAATAAGGCCCATTTTATGAAATAATAACACATTAGGCCCAAATAACCGTGAATTATCAAGTTAAGCCCACTAAAACCAAAAATAACACCAAAAGTCCATCTTGTTTATCTTTATTGTCAAATGTGGCCCTTTTTGCATTATTTCTTTGTTTTTCTAGAAGCTTTTACATGTTTAATCCTTTCAACATCGTGTAATGTTACTTCAAGTAGCTTATTTACAAATAACACCAAGATTTGGATGGTATTTCGTGTTTATCATGTTTTTATGGCATAAACACAACATATCATGAAACAAATACACACATACATGTATAATACCAAGATTAACCATAAAACTAGCTTGTATTCTCCTCCTAAAAGGTAGTAAAACTCGAAAACAAGGGGGTATGAAGCTCACCTTGGTGTTGGATCGGTTTTGAAAAGAATAATGAAGGTGTTTTCGAACTTGAGTGCTTCTTTGGAAGGAGTTTCGAAACTTAGATGATTCAAGAAGCTAGAACACGACATGTAGTTATGTAAGGAAGAGTTCTTAACATAAAATGGAGAATAAAAATTTATATATGATAACAACTTACCAAGAGGATGAAGCTTGATGAAAAGCTCTTGAAATCACACACTAAGCTCACGAAAATTTCAAGGGGAATGAGAAGATCTCTTGGAGTTCTAGAGAGGAAGGAGTATAGAGATTAAAGTTTGAATTGGAGAATGAGAAAGGTGGTGATGAGGTGTCGACCGAATTTAAGAAAGAAGAGAGAGAAAGGCTTTGCCTTGATATATGGGGGGTAATCTTGCATGCCTAGATACATGGAAGACAATGCATGGGTGTCTTCCATGTAATTATGAGGTGTCACTTACTCATTAATCTTTTTTTATTTTTTTTATTTTTTTGTCAAACCCGAGAATAAGAGAGGGAAGGAAAGAGAAAGACATTGGGCTTAAATTTATGTGTAGTTGATATTGCATTGGCCTATTAGGGATTTTTGATCCTGTGGGCCTACATATGAGTTTACGGCCCAAAAAGGGTAAATGAGATGAGTATTCAGCCTAATGAGGTTAAATAAGTGATTTTCGGCCCAATAAGGCCCATGAAGTCTTATGGCCCAAAATACTATTGCTTAATGAATGTGGGTCCAATTAGGGCCCAAATGTGGACTCTTGGGCCAAAAGAACCAAGTTGATGGTTCACTGGCCCATTAGGCCCAATAAGAGAATCCTGGTCCAATAAGAGGTTTGAACTGGGAAGTTAGGGTTTCAAGCTCAAGCTTGAGTGGATGCAGCGTATTGAATTTGGTTTAGGGCTTGCACAAGTAAATTTTGGTTCAAATTGTCGTTTTTGAATGAATAACATGTATAACATAATACTTAGGGTTACAAGAATTCACCAAAAGTAATTACATGTAACGCCCGTGTTTCTAGGCTAAGCATTAAGATGATGATGTAATAGTTGGGGTCAACGATTATAACCTACTTTGAAGTAATAAAGAAGAATTACTTGAATATTATGTGAATTATGTGATTTTATGTGCATTATACTTAATTATAAGACATAATAAATTAATAATGAAAATAAACGTCAAAAATAAAATAAAAATAAACCCAATAGAAGAAAGTTATATTGGTCCTGACAAGGATTCCGGACATATAAACAATGCCGAAATCCGAGTTATAACGAAGAAGTTATGACCTGTCAAAGTTTTGTGACAAAATCGGCATGACGTTGTGTGACGTAAATAGTGAATTTACGATGAAGGACTTTTTAGCCTTAGCGATCTAAAAAAAAGTCTTCGTATACGTTAAACTGAGAGCATGCATAAAATGAATGCTCAAATCTGACTTCGTATGTGAAAGTTATAATTTTTCTAAGATTTGGCATAGCAGTGCACAACTCGGAATTTGAATTTTAGATTGAGCGATTTTTGGCCAATGCGACCTAAATGAGAATTGAAGATCTCATTAATAGGAGCTCAACGATAAAAAGAGAGACACAAACAGAGTCCGTATGTAGAAGTTATGAATTTTACGCAGTCATTTAACAATATAATCATCTCATACTGTTAAATTTAAAATCGTGAATTAGCCGACGGAGTCAAAAGGAAAGTTGTAGATCTTGTCTCTACCTACACGTAGATATAAAGAATGTCGATAATGGAGTTCGTATGCGAACGTTACGGGGTTTAGAAGCTGGCAGGGTGGTGCTGCAAAAAGGGTGACGTGACACAATATACGTCACCCACGTTTTGCCACCATAATGGTGACATGTGGCACCAACTCGACGAGTTGAGACATATTTTAGCTATAAATAGAGGTGCGAAGGTGCCTTCATTCCTCACACCTTTGTCACGTTGGGTTTGGTTGTTAGATTTCAGAAAAGCTATATGCCGAAATGGTCCTGCTTCTCAACTGTCCTGCCTGGTTGATCCTTACTTGATAGATCCCGAAGTAGATTTTGAGTTAATGATGAATCTATACTAATAATTAGTCACAATAAAGATTAGACCAAAACTTAGCGATCATAATACTATGTTTCATCAAAGGAAAATAGAATCGTTAGAAGCGAAGCGCTGCCCGAGTTTGGAGTCATCACTTTTATGAGTGCATAGTTACTTTCATCTTACACATAGATATGAAGTGTTTTATATAAATTATGTGCTGTGTGCATATAACATGTATACTTGCTATCTATGCTGGATGAACGATTTTATACATGTTTTAAATAATTTAAACTGTATATGTATTTTATATCTACAAAAGTGTTGGGGTAAAACATGGGTGGATGAAATAGACGATGAGCGATAAAATGATGAGAGGCCTCGATGTTGACAATGATCTAGTCATTTAGCGGAGTATAGATGACGACCATAGACTATTCTAGACAGTCCACTGGAACGCTAGCAGGCTCGTAACCTGTAGGTGTTTGTGAACGATGTGTTCACCGGTGTACTCCATCCCCCTCATGATTGCCTTAAGGACATGTATTGCTGAGGCTTCGCCTTAGCAGTATTGTCCATTCCGATGATGATCCTTAGGCTAGGTCCCTTATGATAGGTGTTTTAGGGATGTAAAGTGAGGATAATGGGAACGGGTAATCGGGTTATTGCTGGTTGATGAAATTAATAAACTTATATATTGTGGGTTGAAAACCCTATGTGCTCACCAGGCTCCCAAGCCTGATCCACTCAGTTTCTTGTATTACAGGTAGTGACACTCGAGCATAGATGTGATATTCGGATGAAGGATTACGGATTATAGGCCTGTAGATATGAATAAATGTTGTAAGACTTATATTGTATTGTTTATGCTTTTGATTTGTATCGAACATGACATCCTGAGGTTTTTAATGAAATACATTTATTCGAAAATGCTTTGATAAATCTTTATCATATTTTATTTTGGGAACAAATTCCACAACACTTTTCTTTAAAATGTTACTTTGATTTTTAAACAAACATAAACAAAATCGGTCTTTTCTGAACGTGAAAATGGGATGTCACATTTCACATAGACAAAATTTCCTATCCTTAAAATACTAGTTGTGTGTGTATGTGTGTGTGTGTTAGAGAGAGAGAGAGAGAGAGAGAGAGAGAGCCACAGTTATGATGTGTTGTCACGCTTTCATTGGTTTCACTATGTGTTGTCTTAAACATGCATTTTCTCTAGTTAAAACCATCTTACATATATATATATATATATATATATATATATATATATATATATATATATATATATAGAGAGAGAGAGAGAGAGAGAAAGAGAGGTAGGTTCAAGTCTTCTAACTATTTATTGTGTGGATGTAGAATTAATTGTGGGCCAACCAAATTTAAAAAAAAAATAATAAATAAATAAAGATATATTAGTAAGATACAAATATATTAATTAATTTCCCAAATTAACTTGTGATATCCTTTTATTTCAGGGATTTGTTTCTTATTAACCATGTTAAAATCTGCATCCACCGTAACAAGACCAATGCCGGTGAACTAAATCAGCCTCTTTCTTCCTCACACAGACAACCACTTCTTTCTTCTTCCATCTACATCATCGGCCACCTTTCTCGTTGTCTTCATCACTAATTAATCGTCCTCCTCGCCACTGCTTCCTCTGCGTAATACCAATGACACCAAGCTCCGCCTAACTTATATATATATATATATATATATATATATATGCGTTTAGCATTTTATTTTTTTCGGTTGTTAACAAACACCCAATTATTTCCGCCCGCCACGAAGCTCTTCTACTTTAGAATGATGGAAGAGTAATATAATCTCGAAACAGATTCATGTGCACATTTTTGCAGAGTTGTGATCCAAATCACCAGACACGAAGATGGAAGGGATAGAGCACAAGATGGTCAACGTCTACGATATCAATATGCACATTGCAGAGATGGGTAAAGGCCCAATTGTACTACTAATCCACGATTTCCCTGAGCTCTGGTACTCCTAGCGCCACCAGATCATCTACCTCGCCGCTTATAGGTATCGAGCAGTCACCCCGGACCTCCGTGGTTACGGAGACACCACCGGTGCACCTATCAACGATCCTACCAAGTTCACTACACTTCATGTTGTCGGCGACATGGTCACACTCATTGATTCTCTTGGTGCTGATAAGGTGTTTGTTGTCGAGCATGACTGGGGCGCCTTGATTGCTTGGTGCCTGTGTTTGTTTAAACCCGACAAAGTTAAAGCCTTGGTTAATTTGAGCATTCACTTTACCCCAAGAAACCTTAAACAGAAAATTTTAGAGAATGTTTGTGCTGCATATGGAGATGATCACTACATTTGCAGACTTCAGGTGGCATTTCTTCTTCATTTCACTTGGTTTTGATGGGAAAATTGTAACACTCAGAAACTAGAAGGCTAATTAAGGAAAGATATTATGAAAATTGAAGGTCTACTCGTTGAGTCCTAGGGGATAACTCGACAAGTAGGAATAAGTTTTTGGATGCGGGTAGAGACTTACTCGACGAGTTGGGGAGGACCAACTTGACGAGTTGCTCGGGGTTTGGGAAACCCTAGATTCGGGGTTTTTCACACTATTTAAGCATCTTAATCCCCACCCTCGGCCTCATTTACAACCCCTAAATTCCAAACCCTAATCCATGAAACCCTTGTGTTTTGTTTGAGGCTGTGAGCCATTTTGGGTGATTTTTGTGTACTTTGAAGCTTGTGGAAGAAAAGGAAGCTAGAGGGCTCGTCGAGTTGTTTCATCAACTTGACAAGTTCACTTGATATTCAGAAGGAGGGGAATCCCGATCCGACTCATCGAGTTCCTACAGCAACTCGTCGATTCCCCCTTCCTGTTTGTTTGTTGTGATTATTCACCGAATACAGGGACTCTAAAGCTTAGATCTAAAGCCCTAACGTGCGATATTGCTGGTAGAAACAGTGTGCGGGATAGATTATTAATGTGCCAATCGGCGATGGTTCGAACCCTAAGTGGGGGAGAACGGAGTATTTTATTGAAGGGATCTGATATTTGTTTAAGAGCGGTTAGAGAATTGGGTATAGAGACCTGCGGAACAGATTCATTACACCAGGGTTATTGGTGGTCGAGGTGAGGTGCAAAGCGAGATAAGGCATGTGGTACATGTTTGGGAACGGATGAGTGTCTCCACCGCAAGTGGCCGTTGTTCGGAGAACTTGTAGCGATTAAGAATTCTTCGAGGTTGTGTTGGAAAATTCGAGGTGGTTAGCTTGTAAGGATAGTTCGGCGGTTGGGAAATTCCGGTCCAATGTATGGGCTGTTATATATAGTTTGGGAAGGGTAGATGTTGATTAGTCAACCAACTTCAGGGTCAGTATGTGTATTCTTGCATGAGTTTTGAGAAGTAGAGGATGGAGTTTCGGATAGTCATAGTCGTGTTGTGAGTCACTGGCGATTCCTCCGTGTTTTATTAAGAGTTGGGATACTCCGAGTTGCGCGTGGTTTTAAATGAAGATTAGTTATGGGATTCTGAGAGAATGCGTTGTTGTGTCAGTGTATGATGCCGTAAGTAGGAGGTTAATGGTCGAGGCAGAACATCGTGATGTTCTGTGATGGTGTTCCGAGGTATCTGAGTGTAATGCCCTGAATTCCGAATTAATTTTAGAGTCTTGAGTTTGTGGAGGCAAGTGGTGTATCAAGTATCTACGATTCTAGTGGGAGCCCTTCGGTTATGGACATAAAGTGGAACTATTAAGAATGTGAGTTTCAATGAGAAAAGGAGTTTGGTTATGATAGTTTTCGTCAGGATCAGTGATGCATAATTTGGTTAAGTGTGTACACTTATTGATGTTGGTTCGTAGAACATGAGTCACTGAAAGCAGTATTGTGTAGACGAGAGTATGAGATAATGGGATGGTAAGAGAAAGTGCTGCTAGTCAGTGAGAGGTTGTTGTGATGCTATGGGGAGCCGTAGTACTCACTAGGTGGTAAGAGGTTGCTGTGATGCTATGGGGAGCTGTAGTACTCACTAGTCAGTGAGAGGTTATTGTGATGTTGCGGGGCCCCGTAGTACTCACTAGTTAGTTAAGGGTTGTGATGATACTGTGGGGAGCCATAGTACTTATTAGACAGAAATAGGTTGTTGTGATAAGTACTCTTTGATCGTAGCATGACACAGAAGAGTGTTAGGCTCGGGTAGTCCTAATATTTGAGTTCTGGGAGCCTGGTGGTCGAGCCAGGGGCGAGACTGGGGTCTCCGCATGCGTCGGGAATTGTTATATTCTGATTTGAGTTGTGACTATTACAACCAAAGGGAATTGGAGAAGTGGTACACACACAGGTTGCAGGTTGAGTCAAGAAATGAGTGTTTCTTTGGGACGAGTGGTTCCAACTTTGGGTCGGACCAAAATCTTGAGTTCGGGTTTGGCCCTGGTGGTGGGTTGGGTAGGCGTGATGAAATTCTGGATTCTGAGGTGGATTCCTGGTTGAGGGGTATTGTTGTCATGTGATGTATTAGACCTGTGTAGGTCAGTACTTGGGTATGGGAGGTACCGCAAGATGCACAGAGATATGAGAATAGACGACAGAGATCGAGGTTGAGTCGATCTTCAGTTGCGATCGTAGAGTCATTTTTGGGTATGCAAGGGGTAACCCTTGGAGGTTCAACCGCTAGGTCGAGAGCTGACCTGGTATTCAGAGTTGGAATTGTTTTATCCGAGTCTGTTATTCGATGAGCAATCGTTAGGGTGATATCCAAACCGTTGACTGAGTTTTCCTATAACAACAACCACCATTCGAGTATTGGTATGCTTCCCTTCGAGTTGTTGTATGGGAGGAGGTGTCGGACCCCCATCTGATGGGGAGAGGTGAGGCAACGAGTGATGGGCAGTACTGAGATAGTGCTTCATACGACATCGCAGATACATCAGGTCAGACAGAGGTTGTTGACAACTCAAAGCCGCCAGAAGAGTTATGCGGATAGGCGACGATCCGAGCTCGAGTTTCAGGTTGGAGATTTTGTACTCCTAAAGGTATCTTCTTGGAAATGAGTGATCCAATTCAGGAAGAGGGGCACGCTAGGGCCCCGGTACATTGGTCAATTTAAGGTGATTGCGAGGGTGGGTAGGGTAACATATCGTTTAGGGCTACCTACCGAGTTGAGTCAGATTCATGATACCTTCCACGTATCTCAGTTAAGGAAGTGTATAGCCGACGAGACGACGGTGGTTGCGCTGGAGGATATTCAAGTGGATGTGAGCCTGAATTTTGTCGAGAGGCAAATTGCAATAGTGGATCGGAAGATCAAGGTTCTGAGGAACATGGAGGTGCCTTTGGTTCAGGTCCAGTGGTAGAATCGGAGAGGGTCCAAGCTGACTTGGGAGCCGGAGTCAGAGATGCGGGAGCAACATCCGGAGCTTTTTGCGGCATGAGACTTCGAGGGAGAAGTCTGGTTCTAGTGGGGGAGAATTGTAACATCCCAAAAATTAGGTATTCTTTATGAACCCTAATCTTTCGTCAATTATCTATTTTGGTCCTTATCAAGGAAAAGAATGGAAGATGGGTATGCGGGGCGTATTGGGGTGTACGCTCAGTGTACTCGTGCGCGTGTTTGATTGTGGAGGATTGCCTGGTATGCGGGGCGTACCCGACCCAGAAATGAAACCCTAATCTTTTGTGAGCCACCTATTTAAAGACCATTATGGCCTATTTGCTGGCCACCATTTCCAGAGACTTAACCTCCCAAAACCCTAAATCTCGTTTTTGTAGCAAGAGAGTTCCTTGGAGAGCTTGTTGGTGTATTCTTAGAGATTTGAAGTGAAGAGGAAGCTTGGGAAGAGAAGGAGTTAGAGCTCAAGCTTTTGGATCCGAGATTAGCAGTGGGAAAAGCTTCATTTAGAGGTAAAAAGCTTCAAGCTTTCCTTCTTTTCTATTTGTGTTTTGTATGGGGATGTTTTAGGGTTTTGTCCCCCAAGATAATAACTTTATATGTTGATGAGCTCCTAGAACCCGATATTTGTCCCATGTTAGCTTATTTTGGGGTGCTATGTCATAAAAATCCAGTCTTGGTCATTAAGAGCTGACCATGCTTGAGTTTTGAGCTCTTAAAGGTTGGAAATGGAGTGATTTGGGTGTTGATGACTTTTACAACCATGCAAAGGCTTAAAGTCACCGACTTTATGGATTAAGTGGCTTTAGAATAGTCAGATCTGGAAGTTGAACGTGTGTCTTAACCATTTAAGACCCTATATCAAAAAGAGTATGAGACTGGGACTTATGCAAAGGCGTAATCCCAGTACGCGCAGCGTAAGGGGTCGCGTTCCTAGATTCTGTGTAGTTGCCGGGTACGCTCAGCGTACAGAAGTGGTACGCACCGCGTACCCCAGAGGGTTGACTTTTGTTGACTTTTAGGGTTTAGTCAATGTTTAGATGTTTGAGCCTTGGGAGGGGTAAATTGGTCTTTTACCCTACCGAGAGAACCTAGAGAGAGATTAGCCTAGCCTTTGAGAGTCGTATTGATTAGAGTAATTATTATATGTGATTAGGCGGAGGCTAGACCAGTATTTCTGAGTTCGAGATTTACCGAGTTACCCGAGGTGAGTCTTCTCACTATACTTTACCAAGAGTGGTAATTAGAGTTATGTGACAGAGTATCTTGTATGCTATTTTATATGATGCACACTGCATTATTTCTATGTGATTTGTGCTATGTATGATTCAGAGTTAGGACCGGAAGGTCCACAGAGTTAGGACCAGAGGCTCCACAAAGTTATGGGACTGGAGGGTCTCACTGAGACACATTGACTAGAGGGTCATACAGAGTTATAGCCTTGAGTGGCTAATATATGTTGTATATGGTATTTTGGGGGACCCACTAAGCTTCGTGCTTACCGTGTTATGTGTTATGTGTTTCAGGTTTTCTAAGAATCACGGGACGACACCGACTTGATTGTACAGACAGAGAAAGAAATTGTGTTTCGAAGATCCTGTATTATTAATTAATTTACAAGGAGTTATGTTTTGTAATTAAACAAATGAGTTTTTATGAAATGTGATATGAAGATTATATGTTTTAAAATGAAAATTTTGTTTTGAAAAACATCGTTACAGTGAGAGTTGTAATATCACGAGATTTTGCAGGTAGTTCCGAATCCTCTCTTCTATCTTTATTTTGTCACTTGTAGTCCTTGAGGTTGGAAGTGTAGAGCCAAGTTAAGTCTAAGGGACAAATTTTCAACCTTGGATTAGGAAGGAGTACGCTGAGCGTACATAAGAGTACACTATGCGTATTGAGATACGTCTTAGTATGTTGGGCGTACACTTGTGTACACTGGGCATACTTATGTTAGGAGAAAACCCTAATATTTAGGGTTGGGGGCTATATAAACAACCTTATGAGCTCA